CGGTGGTTTCTTAGCTCGACCAGAGTTCAACGGTTTTTTTGTACACAATCGGTACAAAAAAAAAAGGAGTAAAAAATATATTAAAAATAGGGACAGCCGCTGCATGCAGATGGCGCTGACCCCCGGCGGCGATCGCCACGCCTCCACGCGGGCTCACCCTCGGTAACTCGATTTCCCGAACGAGCCGCAACCTAAACGGCCTCACGAGAATCCCAACAACGGCGTTAAGCGTCCGTCACAAGTCTTCTCCGGGCCGAGCGAGCCTAGCGGCAAACAAAGGTTCCACGGAAAATGTTCCGGCCCACCAAGTTCGATGAGCCGTGCACCAGCACACAGCCGAGAGAGAAAGAGGGAGAGAGAGAACTATAAAAGTGCGGCGCTCTGTTGTGTGCGGCGAGCGTGTCCGACGAAGCGATGCCCCCAACCGGATCCATTTGGCGCCCAACGTGGGGCGTGCAACACGCATGCGCGCGCTTCGAGAGCGAGCGCGTGTGAACCTTGTCTGCTCGCACACTTCTAAAAAAAATAATAAACTGACACGAACTTTGTGTGCATTGCAGGGTAGTCGCCAGTAGATATAACATGTGTCGGCTTTAGAGGAATCGTATGAGCTCGTTTCTCGCATCTTCGGCCGTAACACTGACGCATACTGGATACTTTGGTGCCTGGGACGCGTCTACGACTGGTGTGTTTGCCGGGTCCTAAAAAGTGGTCCCTCGATTGCCGCCTGATGACGTCATAGGACTGTCACGCTGTCGGTGGTCGCGATCCTGGCGGTGTTGCAGCAAAGCTGCTGCATGCGGCAGACGGATGTTCTGCCGCAGGTTGCTTTCCAGTTTGACGGTCCGCGGAAGCAGCTGCGGCAGCCTGGGGTTGCGCGACTCCGCGTCGAAGAGACACTCGCATTCCCTCGCACCTTTTTGGCCGTGATTTTAGCACCACCCGCCAGAATCGCGAGATTCCAACAGCCAACCCTCGATACAAGTTGTATACCGGAGGATTAAAAGGTTGGGAGGGTGATTCCCCCGTAAAAATGCGAAGACGAGGTTTTTTTTTTTTTTTTTTTTTTTTTTGAATGACACGCAAACAGCTTCACACCTTTTTAGTGGTGCTTTGATTGCCCTAACAACATCCGATCCATATCACTTACCAGCAGTTCAAGGCGTTTTTTTTCTCCTTTTCAGCATGGATTTCACGAGTCATTTTAAAGCGAGGCTAAGCTTTTATGTTTAGCAGATGATCTGCATTCCATTCTTGTCCGTGGATCTCCGACGGACCGCATATTCCTTGCTTTTTTTAAAAGCATTTAATGAAGTATGTCACAAACTACTTTTCTTAAATTGGATGAACTTAACTCGGACGTCAATGCCAACCCTCAATACTCTGAGGCGCCTAGGGCATGTGGATGGCTGTGTGTGCGAGGAGGGCTGCTGACGTGGACTGGACGGGAGAAAGCGGCTTGACCTTCGGGACTGTGGATGTCAGGTGGGGGCACCGGGGGGGGGGGGGGGGCTTGGCTTTTAAAACGAGTGTCTGACAAAAAAAAAAAAAAAAAAGTTCAGCTGTGTTTGAGACGTTGTGTTGTGTTCGTCCCCTTCTGTGTTCCTCAGTCTCGGGTTTTGTTACCAGGAATCATCACCAGCTCGCTGTTTTTTTAAGTATTATTACGTCAATGATCTTGCATGGTTGCATTCTTTCCTCAATAACCAGTCTCAATCTGTAACAGCTAACAATACGGATTATCATTCTTCGGCAATTGGTTCAGGCGTACGTCAAACTCCATCCAGCACATTTTGAACTTAAAACAAACAAAATATAACTTATCTCGTCGGTACTGTCATTGAAGATCAAAGAGCAATGATTTGTGAGCGGTACTTCGTTAAAATCTTTACGTAAAACTATAAGATCATGTGTCTAGTGCTCAAAAATTTGCAACATGGCGGCGGCCAATTGGGGGTCACATTCAGCTGCCATTTTATCGCTCTAAGGTACTCTTCCTCGTTGTAAAAGGCGTACAGTTTTCGATAAGCATTCGCGAAGTGTCTACCTTCCACCCAAATCCGACAAGCTACAAGCTCGGTTAACCTCTGAACGTTGTATGACTGCAAGGTAATGCGTGATTGCGTTCTTTTCATTCAGGCAAACGACGCGGACGTCATCTGCTCCCTGTGGCCCCCAGGCAACAGCGCCGCTGCCAGGGAGGAGAGCTCATGGGAAAGTAGAGGCGAACACAATCTGGTCCTGCGCTTGCTGGGCAGTTTAACTTTACAAATACAGTGACTTTATAAGACGGCACGAAGTTGTCGGAATTTTTTTTTCCCCGAAGTTTTATTAACATTTCTAACTTCACAAAGTTTTAACCAACAAGCCTGTGGAGCGATTCTATACGGCGCCTACCGGAGCTTCGCCTTTTCAGTCAATTCTTTTGTGCAACATTGCCGAGGCTAATGTATACCTTTTCACGGTGCTACAGCCCCGCAGCACTGTGGAAGGCTTCCTCTTGCGTCTCATTCGCACGCCCTCTGGTGCGAAGAAGGCGCCAAACAATCGTCACGCGCTCATAGCTTCGACATCGTTGGAGCAATGCGGAAACTATATACAGCCTTGGCAATGTATACGTGGCACTATAGTTAACGACAACGGGTATAGTTTAACCGAGAATAAGCTTTCTTCTACATAATGCCTCGGAGGCACAAATATGATTTAAAGTGGCAACGTGCGTTTGATGCGTGCACGCGCGCGCCTTGCTTAAGAAAAACTCCGCGCATGCATTATTTCCACGATTCGCCGGAAGACACTTTTACCGGGTAAAAACCGCGCCGGTAAAGTGAGCGACAAAAAAGCGGACCTCACGTAAAAGGAAAGCAGCTCACAAAGGACAACACAAAAGCGAGACATTAAACGGAGGAAAAAGTCCGCCCCAACAAACCACGAGGACAGTCGTGTTGACAACTCGACAGCGAACGCATGCGCGAAAACGGCCAGAAAGGGGCGCTGAAAGCCGCGCGGGCATGTGCGTCATTCTCGAGGACATTCGTGGCTCACATATCGTGTGGCTCGCATCTGTCATCCTTCCTTTTCATCGTGCACTCCAGCATTGCGCCCACGTTGCGGGACGGTATACGAGACGCGTGGCACTTATTGGCTTCAGGGGGTGCGGGCTTTCGGCAGGGGTCGATTGCGCATCGTCACGATGAAGATGTCACCCTCCCATGACACCACGCGTCGACGGTGTCGCCGTGTCAATGGGCACATCACGACGTCCGTTTCGCCACAAACTTGGGCTCGTGGAGAAAGACGCACGATTCGACCGCGACCCGACAAACGCCGTCGCTCACGCGCGCGCGCACGCGCTGCCGAGTCAGTTGTCTGACGACCACTCGGCTGGTGTCTATGACTAACAGGCAGAAACGTATGACACATTCTACAGCGCGGTACACACCTTACCGGCGCCTGTACATCCAAGTAAAAAAAAAAAGAAAAAGAAAAAAAATGAGGACATTTAAGCACTTCTTATGAGTTGTGAATGCGAAAGCATGAATGTCGTTCTTCTCCTCCTTTATAGTTCGTCTGTGCACGTTTCGCTCTATACTGCCGAGGTTGCGGCCGACGGCCAAAAAGCGCGCGCTCTCGTGAAGTGGCCGCGCCGCGCTGAGCTCGGCCGTGCAGCCTCTCCGGAGTCTGCCCGGGCGCGCTCTGCTGGCTCTGCGGCCAGCCGCTCCCTGTTACCGGAGGCCGGGCAGCTGTGCTGCCATGGAGAGGGCTTCTCTGTGGGTTGGTGTTTCTTGGAACTACACTGCGCGGCAGCCAATGGGAGCCTCGTTCCTTGAAGCTATGACGCGCGTCAGCCAATGGGAGCCTATCCATCAAATCACTGCTACAGGCGACAGGCTTCGCTCCATTGGGACAGGGGAGTTTAGGTGCCGTTTCGCGCGACTTCAAAAGCATATAACGCCGGTGCGCTCCATAGGACAGTTAATGCTCTTGCATTAAAATGCTGAGTCCCCGTTTTGTGGACGCATTTACGCGCGGTGTCGAACATCACGCAGGAGGGAGCTTCTGCTCATGTTCAGAAGGCGTTCCACAGCCCCGTCCACGAGGATGGCAGCGCATGGGAGGTAAATAATTGAAATGGTCTACCCCGTTCTTTGTGGACGCAGTGCGAACGCGTGCTTTTGTTTGTTCGCCCGTTCCCGCGACCCACGAGGCCGTCCTGCACGTGCTCGGTCGTCACACCTCGCAGCCCATGGACAGGAATGAGCGCAGCCACGAAGGAAATATTATTTATGCATCACCGTTACGCGGCCCACGCACTGACCACCATTTCGTTCTTGCGTAATCAGCCCGCGTGGCAGTTCGTATAACGTCTACGTAAAGATCCGAGTCCGCCAATCTTCCCACGCACTTTCGACCATCTCGCAACGGTGGGACATAAAGGCCGATATATGAATGGTGTCTGGACTTAAAGTGCGAGACGAAGTACAGAAGGTATAGCATCGTCTCGTGTATATATGTTGCGAAAGACGGCTGCCCCCGACGATATCAAAGGCCAATCAGCGCGCCAATTCTTTCCCGCGGGTTTATACATCAACTCATGGACTCTCCGACGGTCAGGATATACTGCGCAGACGTCTCATCTCGCGATAATCTTGTTTCTGCGCACGCGCAGTGCCCACGGTGTGTTCCAATCTCCCGCGGTGGATTTCCGATTGCCAGCGGCAATTTCGACGGTGTATGCGTGTAAAAAAAACACGATGGGAGTTCGTATAGTAATCACGTCCGTGCAGTGCCGAATTCGATCATTCTCCTTTCCATTAATGAAAGCATAAAGAACGCGACCACAGCGACGCATTCGGTTGCCCAGCTCTCGCCAACACACCACGGGGTTTTCCCAGTAGCAGTTTGGCAGCTCGCGTGGATGGAAAGCTTGCTGGCACGGGCGGCGCACCACGAAACCGCATATCGTATATTCCCGAGGCAACCTTATAGACAGCACTCACCTGGAGCTCCTGGGCCTGCTCCTCGATGAGCACCTGCTGCTGGCGCACCGTGTCCTCCAGTTCCTGGTTCCTCTCCAGGAGCGTCTTGCCCAGCTCGGCCGCCAGCTGGAGGTCTGCACAGCACCGCATGCGGAGAGCGGGAGAAAAGGTCCACCAAGTTTAGTCGCTATAGGAACACATAGGGTGTTTTCGACGCGTAACAAATTTCTTTAAAAAATATTAAAAAAACCGTGAAAATTTCATTATTCTAGTCTGTGCAATTGAGTTGATCGGCCAGTGGGACGTGATGGGCTAATCGTAACCAGTCGTAAAATGAACTCACTTGAATAACTTTATTAATGAGGGAACACAAGCAACTCGACACAGCCCAGGGTGATCGAAAACCACTAATGCAGTAAACTGCAGCGAAATTTGGAACGCGCGAGAAGTACGGCGATGCGCTGAAGTTACGCGGCGCGAAAACGGGAATCGTGTAACACCGGCGCACGTGCTTAGCATTTGCGCTTTCACGCCGCCGTATCCTTGAACCGGTTGTACGAGTGGTAATTTTAGCGTACTCTACTCGGGGACAACTTTTCTCGGCAATGCAGTCCAAGGTATACGGGCACGCGTGTCCTGTCCCCTTTATGAGCGCTGATTCAAGCAGCGCCCGGGCGCCCTCCTCCTCGCTGAAATGCCGAGGAAAGTTGTGCCCCCGAGATATAGAGCAGGCTTCCCACGAGCTCCAAATCTTTCCGAAAAATTCACCGATTTAGTGGTATTCCATGACACTCAACCGGTGTCTAATCGGAAAGACGCGTTTATTTTCCTTAATTAAAAGGTCAATTTACAAAATGTAGTTAATTCAGCGACGTACCGTGGATATCATAACCATATATACTATGTCTATAACTCACCAGCATGGACTGCATTAAGTGTAGCCTTCGCGGGTTTGTGAAAACAAATCTGTGCTATATATCCTTTGGCATTTCGATACGCTAATAATTGTGTTGTTTGTACGTTCAGACAGCCGGAAGTTAGTCAGCGTGAACAGTCGTCTGGCGTCTCAGCTGTAGATGAGAAATTCAGCCGGTGCAGTACAACCCCCTGCCTGGGGTCTTCGACGTGTATCACGCGGTAGTATATTAGTGCGGTACCCGTTACAAGTAATCAAATTATTTTTACGATACTTTTCGGAGTAATTTTGTAATATTTTGGGTACATTTAGAAGGAAGCAATCGCGAGGGTTATCCGTTCATTACTTTGGGAAATATTTGCATGGTCCTATGAACCGTTACTATTTTCTCTCCCCTTTTTAATGGTGGCATTTGTTTGTACAGGTTCGCCTTCACGGAATCCTGGTACTAAGTCTCAGACAGGAGAGATTACCAAAACTGGTGGATGAAGCGCAGAAGAAGTTCATAATTCGGTTACCGTAATTCAATAACGGACAGTGCGAACAACCAGCTTTCATATTGAAGCGGCAGGTTAAATCGTATTCTCAGCTTCATATCATTCCCTGGGATCCCAACATTGTTCTCCGTGGTTCGTTGTCTCGTTTTCTGCAAAAAAGTGAACCCCAATATTTTTTTTTAATATATACATAAATAATATTAACGTTAGAAGATTTACCTCGACATCCTCATTTAGATTTTATTTCTTTTAACGCATACGAAGAGGTAAAACACCAACTTAATGCCTTCCTCCGTCTCAAACATTTACACAATATCAATATTTGTATTCATTCGTGCTCATTCTACGCCCTATTTCAGGTCGAAACATTGATCTTTGTAACAATCAACACGCTTATTTTTTTTTTCTTTTGGTTTTCTCCCTTCGAGCTGTCTGTATTGCATCGTGAGAGGTTGAACGCGTTCTTGCTTTGTTTCCTCTCTTCCGTAAGCACTTGGCTTTCATCTCCAAAAGGAAGATCACTATATTGTACGAACAAAATGGACAAAGTATAAGGCCGAACAACGCGCACGATAAGTACACATAAGGAGGCCGTTTAGGTGCGCCTGCAGCCAGCCGCGCACGCCAGATATCGGCGGCAAAGCTGTCGATCCCAATCTCCGCGCCAAATAAATTGCCCCCCGCGCAACACGGTAGCCCACGATAACGGGGGCTGTTCGAGAATAGCCGCACACCGACGGAGCTGTCCAAAACAATCTACGCCGCGGTCGCTCGTTTTCTCTGGCAGCCCCGGGCGGTTGTCGTTTTCCGCGTTACCGCGTAAACGGGACGAGCCGTCTTTGTATACAGTCCGTTTACTTTACGTCAGACCGCACCGGAGACTTTACGTCAGACCGCACGCCATATACTAGCCATCCCCAGCCAATCCGGTGCCGCGAAAGGATCACGTGACTGGGCGCGTCCCTCAAGGTCACGGGACACTCATACAGCAAATAGATATAGGTACTGTCGAGACCGGTTATAACGAAGTCGCGGTTATAACGAAATAGTGGCAACAGCGAAACGATCACGATTACCCATTCCCATTTGCATTTCGTTATAAGTTATAACCGAAGTCGGTTATAACGAAATAGCGGATATAGCGAAGTGATTTCCGACTCCCGTTGATTTCGTTATAACCGGTATCGACATACGTATACTGCGCGCCATATACCAAGTCTGACACAGTGTATACGATCCGGTATGGGCCAATCGGGAAGCGTCAAAAAGTGCACCGTCACGGCGATCGTCGTTACTGTCAACGAGTGAATCGGTGTGTCACGCGTGGTACGTATATTGTCCCCACTAAATATTTAGCGGGGAAACTAAATGGTCGTATAGGTCGCGTGACGTGGACAGATCGATTTCCCCACGCTAAATTTAGCGGGAAAGCATGGATTCGTGTCTAGGTTGCGAGACGTGAATTTTCCCGCTAAGTTTGGCCGGGAAACTGAGCCGACGTCACGTGGCGTCAATTTCCCCAAAGGTGTATAGGTAACTTGACGTCAGGAGACGGCACTTTCCCGCCAAATTTAGCGGGGAACCTGAATTGGCGCTTAGATCACGCGATGTCACATGTTCCGCTAAATTTAGCGGGAAACTTAATCGGTCGGTTATGTCTCGTGACGTCGGGTCGCGTGACATCGATTTTCCCGCTAAATTTAGCCGAGAAACTGAATTCGTGTATGGATCTCGCGACACCAATTTCCCCGCTAAATCTGGCGGGGAAACGCACGGATGGACAAAATTTTGGGATTGTGGGGGGTAGCGTTAAGAAGCATTTCACGCTCTAAAAAAGCGAAGGCATTTACTTTGCGCGTGACTGATTTAGCCGTTAATTGCAAAAAGGTTAAGACGACGAGTGCCACAACGATGGACTTCGACACCGCTCGATCAACTCCATCCGATCACTGCGTCGACTATACGGTCCGACTCGAAACGCGGAGTAAGGACCATTTATTTCCTTGCCCGCGAACAGTTTTAAGGGACCCGCCGGAACCACTACACGCTTTCACTCCGGAACAGAATCCTTACGCGACACGACGGTATGCTCGTCAAAAACGCAGCCAAACAGCCAATGTCACTACGCGGCATATGTAGTGAGTAAAACTGTTAACTCAGTGTGCCCTCGTGTACAAACATCGGCTGGAGCCGTGTCGCCGAACCGGCTTCGATGACACTCGTGGAGTCCCGCACGGCCCATCGCAAGGGGTTAAACGAAGCGAGTCGGATCAACGCCCTCGGCCACGGAACGGATTAGTCTCGCCGGAGATTAGGATTAGGCGGAGCGAAGCTTCCGGCAGGTCAGCCTTTTTTGCCTTCCGCATGCTGAGATGCCGCGAAACGATGCCGACCCCCGGATCGAGCCGTAAGGATCCAGTTGGGGGCCCAACGGTTCGGATGTCTGTTTACCTGGACGTCAATACGGGAGAAACTACGGCCAGGCACGCGAGATGGCGGGAGCGCGCGTGTATAGCTGGCCGTGCTTTCGTTGCGCATTAGGCCGTATATAGCCAGTATCTTGAATAGCGGCCAGGCTCTTTAAATCGACCGCTGAAATCGGTTTCTTAACCTATCGTGCTACGATTTTCTGCAGCGTTGGCCACAGGCGGTGCATTTTTTCTATAAAATTTGCAGAGGGCGAACTTACGTGAGGAAAAAGTAAAAAAGAAGGAAAAGGCTTAGCTCCTATGGAAACGCAGCGATTTGCCACCGGTTTTCAAACAATAGGGCGCTCTATTGTTTGGAGACCGGTGGCGTCGCTGCGCTTCCATGGGGGTTAAGCCGTTTTCGTTTCTTACTTTTTCCTCGGTTAAGTTCGCTCTTTGCAAATTTTATAGAAAAAATGTACCGCCTGTGTGTTATATTGTACTAATTTCCAATAAAGTTCATAAAAACTAGTTTTTCCCGTTTGTTTTTTACGCAAAAATATGCTTTCTAAAAGCTCCCGGTGACCAGAGCAAAGAAAAGAGATTGAGCCGCCATCCTGGCACTTCGAACCTGGGTGTTTCGGTACTCTAGGAACATTCAGTGACTCTAGCAGTAGCCATATAAAGCAGCTTTCATGTGTCAACTCGCCGTTAAATGGTGGCGCTGTTATCGTATTTAGCTCGACCTCGGTAGACACCAGCGGCCCAGGCAGGCTTCAAGGGTGAGTTTCTCAACTAAGTGTTCTAGTAACGTTGCTTCACACGTATGTGTGCTACGAACATTGCCTGCAGGCAGTTTTTGTGTTACCAAGATGACGGGACCTTCACGGAAAAAAAAGAAATACTCATCAGACAGTTTTAGGGAACCGTCTACCAGACGTCGACCCCGCGCTCTCTCTCTCTCTCTCTTTCAGTATACCCTTATACAGACGTTTTAGTCTCAGTTCGAACTGGAGGTAAAATTGGAATTTCGGTATGCCCCATTGTAGTGGCAGTTATCCTGACAACCTCGGTGTGCCCCGTGGTTTCAACTTGCATGACAGCAGTGCCGAGAGTTTACCTTGGTCGGCTCGAAGGCTACGTGCTTCTCCACGTCTGCGTAACGCGGTGATAATCACGAACTGAGGAAAGCGAGAACAATGGATGTCGGGGGGAAACACAGTCTCGGCGTGTGTCATCCGTCATGCTAAGCACGTTAAACTTATAACACCGGCGGTGCGAGTTTTGAGCCTGACAGATTGTCTAAGTATAAA